TTTTTTTATTAGTCTTCGCGGGGCCACGGTTTTGTTCAATGTTTTCTTCACTGGCATCCTTAAAGTTTATAGGTATGCCGCAACTTTAATGTATTGCCAAAATCAATCAAAGGACTTCCAAATATCTACCATACCTGGGATGAATCCAACGGCTTGCTGTCTTTTGATTCTCTGGCCTATAAATTAAGACATTAGTGCCACAGGCTAAAGGTGATACACTAGTTCGAGACTATTGACTCTGCGAAAACAGCTGCTTTTTCTTTTTTAACCTCTAACGCTCTGTTAGCGTCTCTATTATTCTTACTTCCGTACGCTATTGCGTTTGCATTTCTGGTCATTGCCTGTCTTGGAGATTATTTCCGCATATTGAATTTTCTATTTATAAACCTTATTTGGTAACAAATTGAGCTAGCCACTGCAATTACTAAATTCTTCCTTTTAGCATTCTACGATTTTTTAACCTTTTTCTTCGTTTTAGGCGATAATCTGGGTGTTTTCTTAGATAGTCCCCTCTGGTTCAGGCCAGTTCTTCGTTCAATGCCCTCAACGGCCTTCCTCATGCCAGATCCTCGACTTTGGTCACCACAGGAGCCGCTTATACTTACACCGGAACGCAACTACACCGCCCATGAATACAAAGAATTCTTCGATGATATTAATTTTGTTGATGGTAGTTTAGTTTTTTCTTTCTTTACTTTATACCTTGTTTCTTATTCCTTTAGTTGTCTTGAAAACGAGATCCTTAGTTTATGATATTAGAGGCATTTCTTTTATTAGGCTCGTTAATCTAATTCACTTTTGGTTGCAATATATTAGGTAATGAGTTTATCTTGGTATAATTTAAGTTATTTTTACTGACTTAATGCTGCTAATATTTATGATTTATCAATTCATGGCTTGTTGGTATTTTTTTTCATTTCTAGTGTCCATGCATCTATCACGATTTTAGTTTATTCTAAAGTTAACTTTGTGCATATGCATATATATACAAATTTATTTTATGTGTGCATATATTTTCTTGTATTACTAGCCATCTTATCACGTATTCCATCACATACATATCGAGCGCCTTATGAATTTGTATATTACAGCCAATGTAAATCAATCCACTTTCTGCTTTCTGACATCAGCGTGCCGTCCAAGTTGAATGTTTACATGTGGAGAATCGACATGCACTTGCCATTTATTAATGATTACTATGCCATGGAATCATCAGCACTAGATTTAGAAGTGCTGTAAAAGAAGTGATATCAATGATGCAATATCACCAATTTTTCAAGAAACCTAAATGAATCTCATGCTACTAGGATTCGCCTCGAAGGCCTATTAAATTATTTCGAACTCTATTAGGTTGTGATTTCTCTCTTGCAATCCATTAACCAGCTTTTCTTTACGCCCAGCAATTATGCACAACATCTGAAGCATTGACTTAACATTTGGCTATTTTTGTAAGCAAAAGACTTAAAATCTAGCTTAAGGCCTATCTATCTCTGGACAGGGCAGATTGTCTTATTTTGCTGATAAGCTACTGCTTTTTGGTGCTCCGTTCAGTTCAGTTTATTTAAGTCACAACTAAATGTGACTAGGAATGAAAACCCGTCCTTTATGGCAACTGAGGGCAACATCTTAAGAGTCTCGTGCTCACTATTTTGACAAAAGAAGTAGCAGGTATTTGGAAGTCTTTTAGCAAGCCATGATTACCTCTGTATAGCAGGCCTATTTTAGCCCCTTGCGCAGAATCTGATCACGGTTTTTATGTCTACAAATATTGTTCCTGCTAGCTCGTGATTCAATCTAAAACGCGTAACTAAAGGAAAGCGCATCACGGATACTTAGGAAGCTTTTCCACAACCGTTCACAATTCTGTTCACACGGAATGCTAATTCAATGTTATCCGAGAACTGATGTAACTTTTCCATGTGGTTTAGTTCAGTGACTATCTTACTAACCTATCATAAGGCCCTAACAATAATAATGTCGAACAAATTTGTCTACACAAAATATCTATTAATTGGAGTCTATTGCTTTAATCTTCCTACAGATAAGTCAAGTTTGATATACCTTAATTATAATTTATTTCCATTAATTAACTAAATCGGCTAGAGT